TATCACAATACGAGAAATATACATACATTTATGCAGATTTTTCATTATTTAATTTCTTCAAATATAATGCAGGACTCTAACATTTTGTGGCAACAGTTTGAAAAGTGAACGACATTTATGAGTCGACGCAAAATGCCAAAACGAAAAGCAATAGTCCTTCGGGATTCAAATCCCTTTGGACAAAAAAACAATGTTGCATATAGTTTGTTACGGAACACCGAAACTGGAGAATGTCGACTTTCACCGATGAATGTCAACATTCACATAGTCCCCTCGGTGGTGTATTCCGAATATTTTTCCAAATACTCTTATTTCTGACTACACCGGTCAATGTCGACACTCACCATTACTAATTTGAATGTGAACATATAACAATATTATATTTTCTTCTCCGTAATTAGTCGCGATAAACGCACTTGAACTTGAATAAGAACTTAAGAACATGAGAACCTAAAACGAATACTTCAAAAGAGAAGAAAATAATAGAAGTTAAACTTACTTATTATACAGTCCGATCTAAATGAGAAAAAATAAGTAATAAAAAAATTACTAAATTATGTATTCAAATCTTATTTATTGCAACAATAAACTATTATGGCACTTTAGACCGTCTTTTCGACTTTCACCAGAGCATATCTGTGATGGTCGACATACACCGTTGAGGGTCGGAATGTACAAGAATGTAGTGAAATATTCGGTCTTTCACCGACGTATTTGGTAAATGTTGATATTCTCCTGTGAAAGTCGACATTCTCCAATTTCGGTCTTTCACGGCAACATAGTCTTTGTGTGAATGTGTTAGATCTCCTAGCTTCAGGCATTAGTAAATTCTTTCTATTTACGATGTGAGCAATAAAATTTTAATGTATTTTACCATTAACCATTTCGATTGTAATACCAACATACATATCTTTCGTGTAATGCTATTTTTAAAGGATAAGAATAAAATATTTAAGATTCTAACAAAACTTAGAATTATGCCGCATTGGTTATACAACTATTATTTTTCTTTAAAATGGGAGAGAAGGTTTAAAGTTTCTTCGACTTAAAAATGTTTAATATTTCCCACGGGAATGTTTTTATCGTATCTAACTTCAGTTTGCATACATAATATTTAGCAAATTTTCATGCCGAGGAAAAGCATTTCTAGCTTAAAAAAGTCCCTTATTTGTTTTATTTGTCCGTTTTATTTAATGAGGAAAATGTAAAACTAAAAGTCCAATTTTAATTAAGATAGTAAAATAATAATAAACCAAATCCAATTCCTACTGCGAATGTAAATCTCCGTTATGAAATAAAATGAGTAAATAAAAATCAGTGAATATAATTGAAAAGAAGTACTTTAAATCCTTCTAACATCGTTATTTGCCGGATATTCAATATCAAATATGGGTACTGTAATGCGTATTCAGAGTAGTATTATTTTTAATATGGGTAATGAAATTTTATCGTATAAATCAGTGAATCAGTTCAAAAACTAATGAGATAGTATGCTTTACTTTCATCTATTCATTCATAATTATTATCTAAAATGTATACCTTGCAAAATGCATGCAAGATGTAAATTATTTGAAACCATGTCATCTTCTTTACATGACATTTACGTGAAAGTGTTTATCCGATATTTAAGATATTTCAGAATATAGATTCCTGTATTATAGCTGAAAATTTCTGAAAATATTTCAGTTTATTTTATTGCATTTTAGTTTTTTGTGTATCATTGCAATAACATTTATTTGTTTATTTTTTTTTGCGTTTCGGGTAATTCTTTTAGGATTTATTTTTATATGACTAATTGGTGGCCATATAATTTGCATGCAAGTGCTTATTTCTTGCACAGAATTAAAGATGTTAAAATTCTGAATGTAGTAATGTTTAAATTGTAAACATGCCTGGCCTGAAGTAATTATTTGATGATACTAATGGATTTTTCTCGTGCATAACTTGAAAGGTTTTAAACAAAATCAAACACATGTTAGATTCTTGAAAACACAAGCTAGATACAAGCGCAAGCACTAGCACTAAGCACAAGCACTAAAACAAGTTAGAAATAACAGCAGTTACAATTAACAGCAGTCAGCAGTTATTTATTTTATATTTATAATAATATACAATTAAATGAAGTGATAAAATGATGAATGGTGAGATGAAATGTGCATAAAATTCAATTCAGATAGTGATTTCAAATATGAAACAGCAGTAAACTTACACAATATGAAATACATTAAAACACATAATATTAAAATACCAAGAAACTACTCTAAAACAATGTCGAAATAAGTAATAAAGGCTAGTCTCTTTTAGATAGTGAATTTTTTTTTAACTTATTACGTTCTCCGCCTTCAGGTGCTACACGGAAACGGTGGGATGCACCGTGGAGGTCTTTACATAAGATCTGAATTTGTGTATTGGTGTATTTAATTATGGCAAAGCACACTAGGGCTATCTGCCTAGGAGGGATGCCTTTCGTGGAGGACTTTCTAAGGGAAACTGGCTCGTATCCACGTTGCACGTGGGGAAAAACCACGAAAACGCCCATGCAGTCAGCCCGTTCGCCGGGATTCGAACTCCGGACCGAATTACAAGTGTTCTGCGACTTTTACCACTCGGCAGCTGGTGGGCTTAGATACTGAATTAAAACAGTATTAAACTCAATTACGATTATACGGCAGAGAAGCAAGTCGCAATCTCTAAAATGTTTACGTCTGTTAAATTTTGGGCATTCTTTTAAAAAAATGGCTCACTTATGGAGAAACATTACAATTGGAACAAACTGGTTCACTCTCCGCTTGTTGAATTTGAGCAATTAAATTTGAAGATGTTGCCATTGACAATAAATTCGCAATAAAATGAACGATCCAAAATTCAGATATAGCAAAATATAGCATGCAAATATTAAAAACATTTTGCGAAATTTGTAGTACCAATGCATTTTTTAATATCATATTACCTATAATTAATACAAAAAATAGCAAATTTTGGCATTTCTGAATTATTTTCTGGTTAAACCAAAGTTAAATAACAAAGCGGTGATTTTTTATGTTTGCAAAAAACCATTTCTGTTCAAAATCAGAATGCAACGTAAGAAGTTACTGAGCTACTGATAATTAGAAAATAAAAGGATTAGTAAAAGAAAAGGTATATTAGATGAGGATTTAAAGAAAATTCAAATAGAGATGATAGATATAAATTAGCAAGTGAAAGGTTTGAAAGCGTGAAAATCAATATTAAATTAGCTCAAACATATTATTATTATTCCAAAGAGGCAATTTGCACAGAAGGACTATGATGATAAACAGAAGGACTATGATAAATAATTTCGCTTTGGCATTTTGCGTCGATTCACGATAAGCGTAGTTCCACTTTTCAAATTGTTGCCTCCAAATATTATCTCCCTGTATTATAGTTAATTAAAATTAACTATAATACAGGGAGATAATATTTGGAGTATTAATAATAATAATTATATAATTAATAATATAATTAAAATTAACTATAATACAGGGAGATTATATTTATAAATTAAATAATGAAAAATCTGCATGAATGTATGTGTGTTTCTCGCATTGTGATAAAACAATGGTACCTAAAGCCACAAAATTTGAATAACGTAATCTTCCATAGAATATGAGCATGAGGAAGCTCTAATTTGAATTTGAAATTTGTTTTATTATCGATTTCATATTTTACAGCACTTCAACGAATTTTTTATTAACCAACTAAACGATTTCAAAGTGAGCAATGGCAATACTGTATTTAAAAAAAAGCTTTTTTATCTGCAGCGCCCAAGACCAGAAATTCTAAAGATATGCTCATTTTAAATTTATTTTGCTATATTGCTGTTGAACTGAATTTTATGGTTTGAGTACGTAGAATATAATATTTAATAAATAAAGGTAAACGTTAAAAAAACTCCTCTTTGGACGTAATTTAAAATCTGAAACCTTTGAGAATTTATATTAATTATTATTATTTTCATCGATGGATTTCATTTTTTCAATTAAAAGCAAATTGTTTTACAACATAAACTCAGTTTCAGTATAAGAAAAAAATTCAAAAACATGAATCATATCTAATATGGTAATAATCACAACAGAGTAAGAAATTCTAAATGCAGATTACAAAGAAGAAGTATTATCTGTAAAAAAGCTAAAAAATTACAAATCAGATTAAAATTTGAAAATTCGGCAGAATTTCCATTTATATAAAATTATTTTATAACCCACTACATTCTTGTTCTATTAGTATAATAAGGAGAAGATGTTTTGTAATTTCACAGAGTTTTCCATTAAAAGCTGGGGTTAATTTAAGATTGTCATATTTATAATTTTAGATTTTAAATTTATCCATGTTTGTTTTACATATTACGATGGGATTACTCTTTAACTGCACTTAATCACTTTAATTTTAGCATCGTCTCCTCACTGCAGAATGCATTTGAATCGAATTTCCTCTCCCTATCAAATGTACTCGTATTTCCAAGTAGGGAAGGGGCAATCGCAAACAACATATTATCTATTGTTTCTCCCACAAAACTATTTATAAGTCTAAAAGTTTAAAACCAAAGTATGAAACACAACATTATCTATCCGGATTTAGCATCAAGTAGCTGCGCTGAATGTCCGCAGTCCTGTAAGGAATAGGTTTAGATCCAAAACTTCTGTGCTAAAAATAAAAGCTATCAGTTATGTCCGAGCTTCTATATATCGTAAACATATTCTTTAATGCCATCACGACTAATAGAATTAGTTATTCTGTCCTTTCGATAATATTGCTGGTGGCAAAATGTATTTTAAAATAATTGTGTATATCAGGTCTTTTCCCTCGAAGAAATCATTTTCTTAGAAATAAATAATTTTTCTTATAAATTAAATAGTAAAAAATAAATACTTTAAAACATTTAATTTTACTATTGAAACAAATAATTTAAAGTTTATATGTTAAATAGTTTAAAGTGTATAATAAATAAATGCATTTATAAAGTAAATAGTTTTACTTACTTCCTTTGTTTTCAAACGACGCCATGCAAAGGAGCTTCAGAAGAACTTCTATATTCATTGGGCTATACATTTTAAATTTACTGCCTGAAGCTCTTTTTAGCTACAAAATGACTTGACTTTATTAAATGTTGCTACACATTAACCATACACTGTTCCAGAAAAGATTAAGTTTAGCAGAGATTTTGACACTGCAAGACTAAAGATATTTCTTGATACTCGAACGATACACGAGAAGGAACAGAAATGAAAGGATATTTGTGCTAGGTAATTGCCTGTTTTCTGGTTGGCTGGAACGTATGTACCACGTAGCACTGTCATGTGTCAAATATCACTTATCAAATCATTGAATACTACGTAGCAAACTAACTGGTATTGTTCTCACACCAGATGCCCGGTTGACAGCATAACGCAACGACAGATGAACAATAATCAATTGAACATCAGGTCAGATGAAACAATGATATTCAACACATATAGCACTTGTATCAGACAGACTGCATTCGGGGGGAAGCTCAGGTGAAATTATACAGTAAGTATATAAGAATGAGATCCAAACGTGACTTCGGAGATAAATGAGATCTGTATCTTCTTCACATGATGTCAATAATGCGTTATGTATATATTGTCTAATCGGTGAAGAAATGAAATTGGGGGCATTTTTTCTGCTCAGCCAAATGTTGTGGTTGAAAGAATACATGAAAGAAGTCGAACAGTGTCAGACTCACTACATGCATCTTTCTACGTGATGTGTGAATGAAAAAAAATGAAATAAATAGTTTGTAAAGTGCGTAAGTGACTTCAAGGCTATTAAGTGCCAAAATCTAACGATAGCAGCTGTATTTTTATAAAATATATGAGTTTGGAAGTGCATGCTGAAAAATTAGGTGACTTAACGATAAAATATTTCTGTTCCTAGATTTTTATAAATAAAACTGTTAAATTTGTTTGATGGTCATCTCTGTCTGCTGCTTTAGAGAAAGAGCTAAGAATTTCAGATTTTTCTCGTAACAACTCATGACAATATATAGAAAGATGACAATATATAGAAAGATAGATAAGCTTATGATAAATGAAATTCTTTTATGAATGCCGAATTTACTAATTTCCTAAGTTCAAATAGTAAATCTTGTAATTTAGAGGTTACAAATGACTTTAGGAAAATCTCTTGAAACGTTTTGGAATTCTGCTTAACATTACGTTAACTATCAAGTGCATTTATTATCCAGACGACTCGGTAAATATAATCATTGAGGAAACTTAAGATATTTATCACATTCGCACCTTTTAAAAAAGCCAGTTTCAAGAGAATTGACTTACGAGAAAACGTTAACTATTTTATTCACTTTAATAATTTAATTATTTATGGAAACAAAATGACAAATATTCTGAATGATAATTTACACCACATAGATTCAAAAATTAAATAAAATTAGAATATTTTCTGAAAATGAGATTGTTTTTTAGTCATTATCAGAAGAAATAACAACCCCCCCCCAAATTTATTTCCATCTCGTATAATGTAAAGATAGACTGCTTATATTGTAAGGATTATGTTAATTTTATTAACAGTTAAATTTTAAGTTAAAGTTCCTTTCCTGTCAGATTCTTAACTTCAACTTACTACCTCCGGCCAGAACGCTGTTTTGGAATATTGCTGAATATTTAATGAGGAGGAGCGGTATTTAAACCACGAAGTTACTTACTGAGTGAGAGAGAATCAGAGTTTCTGATTTACGCGCGTGTCTGTCTTTTTGGCCACTCTCTCTCTCAAAAAGCTATTATTACGCTCAGCCGTATTCAGGCCCTTGCTTAGCTTCGTAGTCAAATAAGTTGAGGGCCCACCAGCGGCCGTGCGGTAAAGTCGCTGAACACTGGTAGTTCGGTCCGAGGTTCGAATCCCGCGAACGGGCTGGCTGCATGGGTGTTTTCGTGGTTTTCCCCATGTGTAACGTGTATACGAGCCAGTTTCCCTTAGAAAGTCCTCCACGAAAGGCATCCTCCCTCTTAGGCAGATAGCCTAGTGTGCTTTGCCATAATTAAATACACACATACACACACAAATAAGTTGAGGGGCAACTCTTAATCTTGTAACTTCGGCTAATTTAGTTATTTAGTTTTAGTTTAATTCTTAATCTTTTAAGTTCAAGCCCAAGTGCGGGCTTTGTTTGTAGACTCCCAGGCGGAGTTTTGTTAAATCTTATTGAAATAATAAAGGGTTAGTTATCCTTCTATCTTGTTGTTTCTTGTCACCCGAACTTGAGCGATTATTCGCTTATCAGTTCTTAAGATTCTTCCCTTCCAACATTAACTTAGAATTACAAAGTGAGGAACTCTACAATATAATCGTAAATTTCAATTTAAACCCTTAGATTCTCCCCCAAGAAGGCATTAATTCCGTTGACACATGGTCGTCGTCTGCTTTGCCATAACCAAGTAAATCAAACAAAACCTAGTTCACATTTACTGGACATAGCTGCCTTTTTTAAAATTGATTACTGTAAATACATAAAAATTTTTAAACACATCTAAAATAATTAAGACACATCTAAAATAATTAAGACACATCTAAAATAATTAAGACACATCTAAAATATTTTAAAGACATTCTTAGTATTTTCTTTTAAGGACTGATGTGTGGCATGTCAGAGATGGACCAAAGTTAGTTCCCTATAGTTGCTTTATTGCATTATGCATACATAGCACTATAGATCCTATGTTACACATCATTTTTTTTAGTTCTCAAGAAATGAGACAACGAGATTATTAAAAATGATATAATTATAATTTGAAATTGGAAAGAAATAAGTCAAACTGAAAACGCATTGAATTAGAAATGTATATGAACATTATTGTTTTTTGTGTGAGCAAACTTAATTTCTTGTCTAAGTTAGAGAGCAGAGCCCATATTTAAAAAAATTCTGGAAAACTATTTAGTTTTTCCTAATTACCGGAAATAATTCAGGTTATTTTTATACTATTAATTTTGTAATTTATAATATTGTTAATTTTATTAATTAAATAATTGTTAATTTTTACTAACAGCTGCAAAATTCTCAGGGCAATATAACTGTTTATCATGCAATTAGAGAGCATAATTTGTAACATATTAGAATAATTACGAGTTTTCATAAGCTTTAAAATATTTCACTAAAGGTTAGTCAACAAATAGGCATTGAATTGTCTTTCGGACCTAATTAATTATTATCACAACGCACATACATTCTCTTTAGTGTATATTAAACAGCTATTTAGAAACCTACCTCAAATTGACTTCCATAGGATTTTCTATGATAGGAAAATATTTGAAGTTATGCACTTATACAAGATTTATTTTTCAAGAAACACTTAAAATATAAATTATTACATTGATGAGTCATTAGGATTTTTTTTTTCCAATCAGGAGACCAGAAAATGTGCAATGCTCTCGCCGGGGCTAGAGCCCTGGACTTCTCGAATACGCGCCGAGTATGATTCCAATTACAACACGAAGGCATGCGAAAAGAAGTGTCGTGTAGAGAATTGTCTGATCGCGTTATAAAAACTAGGTGAATGATTTTCTGATTTAAAGAAATCTTAATTTTATTTGATTCTGAATTATTTATTTTATGCTTTAATTTTGGGGGAAAAACAGATGCTTTGGAATTTTAAGATATTATTATTTCCTTATTTGCATTTTTGTCCAGGCTTTGATTCAGTCAAAAAGAAGCAGGGAAAGGGATGGCAATTTTGCTAAGTCATGATTCGCGCGCTTTTGTTTCGCGCGCTTAGAATGTTCTAGAAGAAAATTCATTGGTAGTTGACCTTAGGACAGGAAGTACGTGACAGAAGGGTCAGAGGTTGCCACTTAACCTTCGATGGAAGTCATTCAGGTTTTGGCGAATCAGGAAGGTCCGGTTGTTGGCTAAATGAAGGAGGTGAATGCGCGCACGCGCATTCACCCTTATTTCCGCATTCAGGGGTTGAGTTGAAACAAAAATTTTGCCCAAAATTAAGGGGGTCGATAATTGAAGCCATTGTTGGGAGCCCGCGTTTGTGAAGGAGACGAAGAAAATTCGAGGTTTGAATCACTTTTCGTGCGAGACTTGCTTGCTGGACTTACTCTTTAAGACGTTACTCTTGGAAACTTGCTCTTGGGGTTGAGCGATAGAAAGGAGGAGGAACAGATGTAATTTACGTCGTGAGATGACGTGTTGCCGGCGGGGAGCGGCAAATATGCTCCCCAGGCCGCGTTTTGGCTAAGAGGCGAGATTGATGAGTGGTTACGAGTTTTGCTGAAAGATTAAAAGACTTACTCTTGGAATGACTTACTGGGTGGACTTACTTTCGATCTTGCTCTTGGGTTGAGCGATAGAAAAGATGTAATTACGAAGAGAGATGTTTACCGGCGGGAGCGGCAATATGCTCCCGGCCGCGTTTGGCAAGAGGTGAAGACTTACTAATTATCTTGAATCACGACTGGGGACTTACTGACTTTGGGCTAAGTTTAACTTCGAGCTGATCTTGGAGATGAGCGTAGAGCGAGCTGTAATGGCCTCGTGAGACGTTTCGGCCGGGAAGCTGCAAACATGCGCCCCTGCGCGTTATGGCTCTAAAAGGCTAATTGACCAGGGCCTTGCAGGAGTAGACTTGTGGCCCGATTTTCGAAGCGGGAAAAGGACCAGGAGAACGTGATGGGCAACAGTGCCCTGTTTCTGTGCCAACGGAAAATTGATTCGTCGTTGAAACCAGTTACCTGACGTTGTGGTTACGCCAAAAAAAAGTGCAGGACAGGACGATGTCTCTGAAACTTCCATTGTAAAGTAGATCAGCGCCGCCGCGTCAAGCTTTAGGATACGGTCCTCCACTTCAGAGGTCCCCCAAGATAAGCTTGTTTTTTGTGTTTGCCTTTAGTAAGGTTTCAAAACCCTTCCTTGGAAGTCCCCCCCAACGTCGTGTTTAATTAATTCTCAGGCTTTCAATTGTTTCCCTTTCCCTTCTTAAGTTCCGAGACCCCCTTAAGGTCTTTATATGATTAAGATTGTAATAATTGTAGAAATACTGAACGGGTCCCGGTAATTAAAGGGTATGTATGTATAGATTTTGCCAACATGATTTAAAAGTAACAAAAAAAAATGCAAATTGAAGAATTCACTGCTGCCTAAAATAAGTAAATGTACTGTAAACAGGAAATGGAAGTTTGTTCTTGCTTGGATAAGCAATTTTAATTGGAGGAGGAAATTTGCATTAAAACTGGTTATTTAATTCTAA